GGAAATATCAAATGAAACCTGAAGCTAAAGGAAGTCTATTGAAATGGGAAAACATAGAAGCAATGTTCAGTTGAACACTGAAGCTATTTGTAATAAGCTGTCATGTATCACCAGAAGTGAACATTGGATGGAAGGCATAGATGAAGGTAGATTAAAACAACTCTGCAGCAGAATGGGAAGACACCAAAATGGTTTGGGGAAAGGAGAGAAGTGAGAATGGAACTGGAACGGTGAGGTCAAAGCGACTGGGAAAGCTACAGGCATAAATCTTCTTGATTGCTGCCTCTGCTGGCGGACAGCTCGTTGCTGAAGAAAAGTCAGGCTTAAGTGAGACTGACAGGGAACAGGAAACAAATAGATGGTCGATAGCGCGGAGACTATGAAAGAGGAGACTTTAAAAAATGAGTAGAGATAATTGAGAGCTGGGGAAAATGCAAAGAGAAGCAAAGAAGAGAAAAATGATGAGCAGCAACAACGAAAGGAGAATATAGCATAGGGGAGAATGCAAAGTGTTTCCCCTCTTTAGAAAGACTTCAGATGTACCTAAGAAAGGTAGAACCCATCACACAGCTTTACATACAGGATGGCTTGTTTCCTTTATGCATTCAGTCATTTCTTCTTGCTGTGTAAATCAACAGTACAGCTGCTAATAGTCATGATTTTATAGCATGTAATGTTTTTTTTCTGTTAAAGTTGATGGGATAATGCAACTTCGAAAAATTTAGTTCCCTTTTTTGAACTCTAAGATGTGGGAAAAAAAGGAAAAGCAAATCAACATATACAAAATACATTGTTACTAAAAAGCATTTTTCACGAGTAAGCCTTGATTGTGGACCCAAATCAGGGTTTTTTAACCACTTCAACTTGTCAGCATTAAGTGCATCTGAAAGCACACCATGACCTAAGTGTGCCATGGGGCGCCTTTCTCTTGCTGTGAAGATGCAGTGAGCATTTGCAAGTGCTCCCTGCATAAGAAGAGAGAGTACATTTAGGAACAGGTATTGGCATTACATTTTAGCTTTTGTTTGTCATGTTTTTTACGGTAATAAGACATGATGAGTGTCCCCTTGGATATGATTTTTTCTTTCCAATGACTATAAAGACAACTTAAACTGGTTTAGGACAGATACTTAAATTTTCTCAAACCCTGATAAATGTTGAAATTCATCCGACCTATCTTAATTTTTCTCAAAGTCAGGCTAGGTTGGGTGAATATCACCCTTTATCAGAGACCAGTGCATTGTCCATTCAGATAAATTGAAGAGGAAAGGATGTAGAAAGATAGTTTTAAAACCACGCTATCTTTACAAAAGTGTCAACAGAAAAATTACACATTTGTTATTGAAACACATTTTTTTTAAAGGTTTGAAAATGCATAAACGCCAAAATCTGACAAATATTCATCTTTTGTGAAACTCACCCGATTCCATTAGCCTTTTGAGTGTTGTATAGAAAAAATATAAAATTTGGAAAAGAATTTGATGGTTCAAAAGGAACTACCAGTGCCACTGAAAGGTGCGTATCTTATTAGGGAAGAGGTAAATTGTATCTCTGGTAAACAACCATTCAATAAGCTTGCAAAGGTAGTGTTTGTCAGCTGTTTGCCAGCTGCAGCTCTTCAGTATATTCACCTATTGTAACTGGGGCTTAGTCATATTTAAATCTCAATTCTACAAGGATGCAGGGGTTCACATAGGTCAGCTTGCAATACTGAGCTGACATCCTGTATTCTTTATATGATGCTGGATAGGCAAGATATGAAACAAGATGGTTTACTCCTGGGGGACTTAGTGCACTTAATCTTTTACCTCTGATTCCGGCTCAGTTCTTTCATGCTTTTGTCAAAAAACAAAACAAAGCAAAACAAAAAGCCTTATAGTTCTTGGCTGCAGCATAAAAAATATGCCATATGACAACTGATAGCCTAGTCACAAAGTCTTTTTAACACAAGGAATGAATAGCGATGTGTCATATGTATATATGTGAGCAATGTGAAATGCTACCTACCCACTTGCAGTCATTTTATTGTGTTATTTCCACAAATATAAATAGTTTTTTATCAACCACCTGGTTCTTTTCTGTGACATGCTCTCTTTGTCTCATCAGATGCTTGTTATATGTGGGTGAAGAAACACTGAATATATTCCATAACCCCATTCTTCTATCAATAATTTCCTGTTATCATTACACAATGATTTGAATTTCGTGAATATGGCCACAAAGGATCAATTCAATTAAACCAAAACTACAAAAGGAAAATCTCACTGCAAACCTCTGTGCAACTGGTGAACCCAGTAATTATATATAGCCACCTATTGTGCTAGCATAATAACATGTGAAGAAGGTTTAGTTAGACACATTTACACACATAAAAAGCAATATGGGCATAGAAAAAGTCATTTTTGCCAAAAGTATAGAACAGTCACACAGTAACAAATGAGAGCTGCATGAATCCTAGTTTACTTGGCTATAAATAAATCCAACATTTTCTTTCTCTCCATGGTAAAATAAAATAGGAGCACAGAAGCATAACAGTCTCCTTTGAGCAACCAGTCTCTTTCTGTTCAATTATAGTCATCAATCTGTTCCACCTAAAATATTTTCCTCCTTGAGAAACCAAAGAAATCAGTAGTAGGATCCAAAACATGCTGTCACAAAAATAATGTAAAAGAGATCTTTCTTTTAGTGAATGCATTTGTTCTGAAAGACTGTATTTTCTTCAACATGAATTTTGTAATTCATGGTGAAAAAATGGTTGCATTTATATGGCACTTTTAATCAGAAGACCTTGAAGAGCTTGGTTAGGAAAGGTAAGGGTTACCTTCATTTTACAGACAGAGAAAACTGCAACAAAGAGAGCTTAAAGCCTTTTTTTTTTCCCCCCAAAAAAAATATCTGTTTTCTATGTATGTTCCTTTTAGATGCCCAACTGGAAGCCTTTAAATCCTGATATTCAGAAGTGCTAAACAGACAAAGCTGCAGTTGTATGAGTACCCTTTCTCTCAACAGTGACAGTGTCAGATTCTGAAGCACTGGGAGACACTCGTCTGTGCATAATCCCC